TGTTTTATGAACGTGTAATATAACGCCTTGTGGTTATATGTGGGTCGCATCAATATTCTCTAATCTTCGAATTAAACTGTACTCGAACCGTTTTTCTCACATCAATTAGTTGTGTTTCAATTATACAACGAATCACATCGCGTTCTGCTTCATCGACATCGCTTGAATTACACGTATCACTAACTTCTAATTTGTTGTAATGCCGACGGAAATAAATTTAAGAATTTTTTCTTTCCATTTATATTCTTTTTTGTGTTCTTAAAGTTTTTTAAGGTCCTTTATCTTTCGATCACAAACCCTGTATAAGGTCGAACAAAACCGTGTAGATAATCTCTATTTAGTTATCTTTTTTTTTTCAATTGTCAGGGACATGAATTCATTGTTCGCGCACTTATCTTCTCAACGGATGTTTTTATTTTTGAACCCTTTGAAAATGTTTATGTCTTATTAAGATGAAGTTTTTACTTAACGTAAGAAAAATTAATGTTGTGTTGGCCTCGGTTTAATAAGGTTGCCATAAAAAATGCTTTTAATGCTAAGCTAAGCTAAGGTCGGTTATGGCCGTGACGTTACAGTTCCACTCCATATTGATGTAATATTGGACAAAAAAATCTTACAACCTCAAAATTCTATTGATTTAGTTTGAAAGGGGATGAAAAATCCTATAAAATGATACCAAACTCGATGAGATTATCTCAAAAAATAACTGAGATATAACCAGAAATATAATAGAAAACAATCGACGATCGATTTTATAAAAGTAACCGTATCTCGGTTGTTTTTAAAGATAACTTCATCGTGTTTGGACTCATTTTCAATATTTTTAATACGTATAACGAATTTGATCAAATAACATTGAAAATTTTTGTTTTTTTTTATATAATTTCATTATAAAAGTTGTTAAATATTAAATGTATTGATTTCGTCTTAAAGGGGATAAAAAATCCTATAAAATGATACCAAACTCGATGTGATTATCTCAAAAAATAACCGAGATATAACCAGAAATATAATAGAAAACAATCGACGATCGATTTTATAAAAGTATTCGTATCTTGGTTGTTTTTAAAGATAACCACGTCGTGTTTGGACTCATTTTTAATACTTTTTAATATATATAACGAATTTGATCATATACCATTGAAAATTTTAATTTTTTTAGTATAACCTCAAAATAAAAAATTGTTAAATGGGAAGTGTGTTGATTTCGTCTTAAAGGGGATAAAAAATCCTATAAAATGATACCAAACTCGATGAGATTATCTCAAAAAATAACCGAGATATAACCAGAAATATAACAGAAAACAATCGACGATCGGTTTTATAAAAGTAATCGTATTTCGTTTGTTTTTAAAGATAACTTCGTCGTGTTTGGACTCATTTTCAATGTTTTTTAATGTAAATGTCGAATTTGATCATATATCATTGGAAATTTTATTTTCTTAACATAACCTCAAAATAAAACATTGTTAAATATCATTTTTATTGATTTCAGCCTAAAGGGGATGAGAAATCCTATGAAATGATACCAAACTCGATATGATTATCTTAAAAAATAACGGAAATATAACCAGAAATAAAACAGAAAACAATCGACGATCGATTTTACAAAAGTAAACGTATCTCGGTTGTTTTTAAAGATAACCCCATCGTGTTTGGGCCCATTTTTAATGTTTTTTAATGTAAATGTCGAATTTGATCATATATCATTGAAAATTTTATTTTCTTAACATAACCTCAAAACAAAACATTATTAAATATCATTTTTATTAATTTCACCCTAAAGGAGATGAGAAATCCTATGAAATGATACCAAACTCGATAAGATTATCTTAAAAAATAACCGAAATATAACCAGAAATAAAACAGAAAACAATCGACGATCGATTTTACAAAAGTAAACGTATCTCGGTTGTTTTTAAAGATAACCCCATCGTGTTTGGGCCCATTTTTAATGTTTTTTAATGTAAATGTCGAATTTGATCATATATCATTGAAAATTTTATTTTCTTAACATAACCTCAAAACAAAACATTATTAAATATCATTTTTATTAATTTCACCCTAAAGGAGATGAGAAATCCTATGAAATGATACCAAACTCGATATGATTATCTTAAAAAATAACCGAAATATAACCAGAAATAAAACAGAAAACAATCGACGATCGATTTTACAAAAGTAAACGTATCTCGGTTGTTTTTAAAGATAACCCCATCGTGTTTGGGCCCATTTTTAATGTTTTTTAATGTAAATGTCGAATTTGATCATATATCATTGAAAATTTTATTTTCTTAACATAACCTCAAAACAAAACATTATTAAATATCATTTTTATTAATTTCACCCTAAAGGAGATGAGAAATCCTATGAAATGATACCAAACTCGATATGATTATCTTAAAAAATAACCGAAATATAACCAGAAATAAAACAGAAAACAATCGACGATCGATTTTACAAAAGTAAACGTATCTCGGTTGTTTTTAAAGATAACCCCATCGTGTTTGGGCCCATTTTTAATGTTTTTTAATGTAAATGTCGAATTTGATCATATATCATTGAAAATTTTATTTTCTTAACATAACCTCAAAACAAAACATTATTAAATATCATTTTTATTAATTTCACCCTAAAGGAGATGAGAAATCCTATGAAATGATACCAAACTCGATAAGATTATCTTAAAAAATAACCAAAATATAACCAGAAATAAAACAGAAAACAATCGACGATCGATTTTACAAAAGTAAACGTATCTCGGTTGTTTTTAAAGATAACCCCATCGTGTTTGGGCTCATTTTTAATGTTTTTTCGTGTAAATAACGAATTTGACAACCTGAAAATAAAATATCGTCAATTATAAATTTTAATGAATGATATTGAATAAAAGCTGAAATTTGTGATTATTTTTTCCAGCATTTCAAACTAGGTTACACTCGACGTAATCGAATACAAAAAGACATTGTTAGAATTTGATATCTGTCTCTTCCCTTTTGATCAAACTCAACCGAAAACTATTACTTTCGTCGGTTTCCACTACAACAGGTAGAGATGATCGTGGATTACACAATAGATTTTGAAAGAAAAAAGTTGGAACAGCTGGATCTAGTCTCAGGTGTCGGCTTCTTCGTTTCTTTTTTTTTTGAGCACTTGGGTGTCCTGTGACAGGAACTATCACCTCTTTTTTATTATTCGCCGAAAATGAGAATAACGCCCACAGAATGTCGTTCAAAAACGTTATCTGATTATATAAAAAAGTAACAAAAAATAACAGTCCATTAAAAAAAAGATTGATGTTGCCAACCGAAATAATTACTCCGAAAACTCATTTCAATGTAAAAAGGAGTAATTGCCCAAAAAGAAACGTCACGGTTCAAGATTACAACTAAAAAAAAATAATTTATTCGTGTCTTAAATTTCTTAAATTTGAATTTCGTAACAATAAATCGATGGTGAGTTAAGTTTTAAAGTAGGAAATGACTCTAAATGGGGTAAATATTACCCCTTTTGAGTTTTATAGCTGGCGTATAGATGGCGTTAACGGACTATTTCTGATGTTATTTTTGATTATGCTTTAGGGTGGAATTACAGAGGTGTTACAAGATGAAAAAGCGAAATTCCAAACGGCATTGTTGCCGAGTTTTTTTGCGAGAGTTGACGAAGAACGGGGCGTAACTTCATTACAACAGTGCCCAATTAGATATTCAAATCGGTGTGTCCTACGTAAATTGTTCTTGGTTTAGATCACCTCGTGGTGGATCGGAAAAATAGGAAATCATAAAAGAAAATGAATATTGATGTAAAAATTATTAATGTATATTTTTATGCTACTAGGTTTATATTAATATTAATACAAATTCGCGTCGAATTGCAAATAGATGAAATATACCATCGATGGCAGTACAAATGTTTACATTGTTAATTTAACCGTATGAAATATATAAATAAATTAGAATTCCAAATGAGATACCATTGAAAAATTACTTTACCAAGTAAATTAATTTAAATAACCCATTGTAATAATAAAGTTTATTATTTATTAGATATTTACATCTTAATTTTTGATTAAATTTTTTTTTTAATTATCAGGTTACTTTAACGTTGACCCAGAGGTATTATAAATTTTAACCCCTCAGTTGAGGACTGCATACATATGTATAAGCAAGCAAGTGCTAATGCCCTATTGTATTGCAGATTTCATGTTAATTTAGCTGGTTGCTGCTACTGTGTCGGCATGATTTGCTCAACAGGTGAACCTCCCCAATATTTGGGTACCCTTTCACCTTTTTGATTCTCATTGAATAATCGATTCGTGTAAGATTAAAAAATAATTAAAAATAAATTAAATTTTTTTTTAATTACCGTTGGTATAAAATATTTTTTTAATACTTTTTATTACAAGTTTTGCTGTCAGGTTTAATTTTTTAATTGTAATAACGTGTTATATGTAAATTATTTTTGATTTAACCTTTTTAGTAATTATCAAAAAAAAATTTTAATTTACTTTTATTTTATTTATTTAGTCGTTAAATAAATTAAAAGGTTTAATTAAATGTAGGTTAATTCAATTAAATTAAAATTTCTTTAAATTAATTATATATATATATATATATAATAGATGTTAAATGATGTTTTGAACATATATTAATCAAAATAGTCCTTCGATATGTGAGTTAGACTCGGTATTTATTAAAATTTCTATGAGTTATCTTAATATTTTTATAAATATATATATAGTAAATGTTAGATGATGTTTTGAACATACGTTCATCGAAGTAGTCCTTCGGTATGTGAGTCGGACACGGTCTGTTGCTTAGCTACCGTATCCTGCGGAGTGTAAACACTTCCCCGCTGTGGTGGGGGGGCCTATTGCAGGTTGCAGCCCTCCGTATTGAGCCACTGAGAGTCGGCCAATGGCGCGCGCAGCCTCCGGTAGGGGAACCTAGGTGGGGTGAATGTCGACGGCAGGACCTACTCCGACGTAGCACACCTCCAGTCCCTATCGCTAGTACACCCAGAGCCGTCGTGAGTGTGACATATGCATGACACAAACCGTTCCTGCAATAGACTGCACAGACTGGCACATTTCAGTTTCTGTTTCTTTGATGTGACGCGTGTCGCGCAAGAACGGCGTTCGGCGGGAGTTATTCACACATGGCGGCAGCAACATACCTGCCGACGAGTAGTGCCCTGACATCAGATGTGGACGGTGGAGTAGTGGTCGGCATGAACGGGATGAACATCGCTGGAGGTTATCATAGTAGTAACTCGCCCAGATCGGGCGTTGATAGTGACATGAAGTACCTTCCGCATCATCAACACCATCATCATCACCAGCATCATATGCCCGCGTCGCCGTCGCCTTCCGGGCCAGCAATGATGAATCCTTGGGTTAGTTTACAATCGTCCGATCCGTGGAATATGCCAATTCACCATCATCATCAGGATATAAAACCTTTGGCGCAACACGCCGAAATCTTACACAGACAGCAACAGCAACAACTTAGTTCACCGCATCACCATGGTTGGTCGATGTCACAACCTTCTCATTATAATCCCGGCGCTGGTAGCCCATTGCAAACCGTTAACGGTATGCTATCTCAGTACCCACCGACGCCGCAACTTCATCATTCGTTACACCGCGAACTCCAAAGTCCACACCACCCGCAGCATCCCGGAGATCGAGATAGCGTCGGTGAAGATGAAACCCCGACAAGCGACGATCTAGAAGCCTTCGCCAAACAATTTAAACAAAGACGAATAAAGCTTGGTTTCACCCAAGCTGATGTTGGTTTAGCATTGGGTACTCTTTACGGAAACGTTTTCTCTCAAACAACAATTTGTCGATTTGAGGCTCTCCAATTGAGTTTCAAAAATATGTGCAAACTTAAACCTTTATTACAAAAATGGCTCGAAGAAGCCGATTCGACGACTGGTTCCCCAACATCGATCGACAAAATAGCGGCGCAGGGTCGAAAGCGGAAAAAGCGCACCAGTATCGAGGTATCTGTAAAAGGGGCCCTAGAACAACATTTTCATAAACAACCGAAACCTTCAGCACAAGAAATTAGCAGCTTAGCGGATAGCCTTCAATTAGAAAAGGAAGTTGTAAGAGTTTGGTTTTGCAACCGACGGCAAAAAGAGAAAAGGATGACTCCGCCGAATACTCTCGGTCCAGATATGATAGACAACCTTCCACCGAGCGGTCATATCCACCCAAGTTACGGCCATCACCCAACGGATATGCACGGATCACCGATGGGTGGACAACATTCCGTTTCCCACAGCCCCCCAATGTTATCCCCGCAAGGGATGGGACACCAGCTTACGGCCCACTAGCATCCGGCCCACTGGGCATCGCTTCTTCACCACAGCGACAACGGCTAGCGTCTTACGCGGCGTTCAAGTCACCCACGACGAAGGACGACGTGGAGTGAACTTTCGAGAAAAGAAACTGCTACCTCAGAGATTTCTTCTTCGCTGTTGTACTTGATAAAACAATGTGATTGACAGTGGTGGTGTCCAGTGCGTAGTGTTGACCGAAAAAATTAAAACGTTAAGTAAAAAGTACTCTTAATTAAAATCTTAAATCCATCCCCTTTAGAACTCTAAAGAACTTTAAAAAGCAGAAAAATAATCGGGGAGATTTTACAAAGTTTACAAAAAAAACTTGTACATTAACTGTATATAATTACACAATAATAACAATTTACAAATATATATAAATATATGAAAATATATAAATAAATGAATATAGACTATTATATATGTATAGAAGAAACAAAACAATAAAAAAAATAACAAGAACCCATAAAACAGAACGACAAGATGAAAAAAAGTGATAAAAAAATATGTACATAAAAATTAAACTTGCAGTAGTTGCAATATCGTGATCATAAAGAATAATAGACAAGAAAAAAAACTCACCGGGACATATACGTTGCAACAACAGGACAAAATAAGAAAAAATAACGAAACAACGTATACACAAAAGTGAGAAAACAAAAAAAAATAACTTTCAGAGAATGAATAAAACAAAAAGATTTCGACACGACGTTCTAAGTACATATAAACTAGTGTATATATTTATTATATTAATATTAATTATATATCGTTGTACGGTGTGAAAAAATTAAATCCAAAATGTTTTTAAAATAGCCTCTTGTTTAATTCTAATGACCTCTTTATCAAAAAAAAAAGAAATTTATCGCTGCCGTCTACCACCCAAAGAAGTGTGCGCAAAAATTAAGAAAAAATTGTTGTGTTTTGCTCTGTGTTCGAATAGAGACAAGGTCGGACGAGCGAAAGTCGGTGAGTCCCTTTTAATTATTATTAATTAATTAATTAATTTTTGTTAAATGTTTCACGTCTATTTTTTTTTTTATTAAAATTTTTATATAAAGGGACTCAACCTACTTCTTCTCGAATATGTACATAAATCGTTTTTATTTAAATTCGATTCATAATTTGTTTCAAATTTGTCTCAAATTCGTTTAATAAATCTCCCAAAAATAAGAAAAAATACGACGTTAATAATAAATTAATAAAAAAAATAAATAAAAATAAATAAATAATAATAATCATGTTGTAAATAAATACACCCAACGATACGATACGATAATATATTTTACGGTAGAAATATTTTTGTAAAGATACATCAAAACAGTTCCTAGTACCTACTTATACATATTACAAAATAGTAAATATAATTAATTGTTTTTCTTAAAATCTTTTTAATTAATTAATTATTATTATTATTTTTTTTTTTCGATTTTTTTTCTTTGTTGAAACTTATTGTGTCATTTATGTTGTGAATAAGGCGATGTGCGAAAAACGTTTTTTTTTTATTTTACCCCTAATTTTTTTTTGTTAAAATAACTGTTGAATAAAGTCGTACTTAAATTACAAAAAATGATTTTTAATTTTTTTTATTGTACATAAATCGTAAACAAAATAATAAAAAAAAAGGAAAAGTGAAAAGTATTTATTAAAATATTCTCCTTAATTGACGTGTAATTTACTTTCATTAACAATGAATACCGATTTGAAATTTACATATATTAATAACTATGACACTAACGTTGTATTATTATTATGTGGAATGTCGCGATACATTTAATTATTAATTGAAAAGTATTTTTTTTAAAGGTTTTAAATAATTAAAAAAAAAATATATATATATATATATAAATATTTTATATATAAATAAAATTCTTGGTGTTGTGTTAGTTCTATTATTAGTTTAATAAAAATATACTACAACCTAGCGCTGGATAACATTTAAATTAATATTAACACTATCACTAGAATTAACACTAGACCTAGAACTAGAAACATGCGGGTTTAGCCGTTCGTCTCTAAGACGGCTAAACCTGAATGTTTCTAGTTTTAGTGTTAGTTCTACTTTTAGTTCAATAAAAATATACAACAATCTAATGTTCAATAACAATTAAAACTAGAGCTAACACAAGCACTAGAACTAGCACTAGATCTAGAACTAGAAAGATTCGAGTTTAGCCTCACGTCTCTTAAGACGGCTACTAGTACTACTTCAACAAAAAATACAACAACCCAGCACTGAATCACAATTAAAACTAGAACTAACACTAGACGAATGTTTCTAGTTCTAGGTCTAGTGTTAGTTCTAGTTTTAATTGTGATTCAGTGCTGGGTTGTTGTATTTATATATACAATTTATATGTACAAATATACAAAAATCTAACGCTGAATAACAACTAAAGCTGGAACTAACTCTAACACTACAACTAACACTAGACCTAGAAGTAGAAAGATTCGAGTTTAGCCTCTCGTCTCTTAAGACGGCTAAACCCGAGTGTTTCTACTTCTAGCTCTAATGTTAGTTCTAATCTTAGTACAAGTATTAATTCTAATTTTATTTCAATTAATATTGGCCGTGAAATTCTTCATATTATATCTTATATATTTTAAATGTCTTTCACAAGATATAAAAGTCGTTCAGAAAAAAAAAAACTTTAACGCATACTTTTCTGTAATTACCGATCGTGTGCAGTATGTCAAGAATCCGTACGAGTTGTGGAAAAGAGCTAAGGTAGCAGAATACCAAGAGTTCTTGACATTTGCTGATAAAACTCATTGAAACGTCCATACGCTTTCTATAAACAACAACGTTTCGGTTTATATTAAATTAATAATTGGTAAAAAAACAAAATCGTGAATGAAATGAAAGTAGTTTTTTCCATTGAAAAACAAATCAACAAATCATTAAAAGTTTTCCTTGCCGGAATAGAACAGGAATCAACCTAAATATTATGCGAGCGCTTTAAATAAATTTGAATAGAATCGCGAAAAATTTGCATTCGGCCAGTAATGCTCTTAATAAATTATTCATTTATGAAAATTGATGTTTAACCTACACTTTTCTTTATAGGCAATTTTATTCATCACAAAAACATCGATTAATATCATTATATCTAGTATTTTGTGCACCGTTTCTATCTTCATTACGATATCTCAACTTTTAATATTTTTAATTTTATTAAAACTTTGAAAATCTCATTTAATTTTTTATTAATCATCAATTTTATCATGGTGAAATCCAATTTTATAAATATTGTTTAGTTCCGGAGAAAAAAAATTTTTACCACAAGCATACATTTTTATATAATATTTTTGAAAAAAAATCATTAAAAATCTATCTGTATCGCAATCAATTTGAATTTTGGATGATTCACAAAGAAAAATTCGGCCTTTTTAATGGTAATATCAATTTTTGAAAATCTCTTTTACTTTTTGAGTTATTATTTTTTTATTCTAAACGAAAATTCGTTAAGTAATAATTTTTTTCGGTATATTAAAAAATTCGTGAAAAATTCAATTTTTGAAATATAATTATGATATTTTCAGAGAATATGATGATAATTATCAAGTTTATTATGCTGAAATCCGATTGTGAAAATCTTATTTGGTTCTGGAGAAAAAAAATTTTTAGCCACAAGCATACATTTAAAGATTAAATTTATATAATAGTTTTGAAAAAAAATCATTAAAAAATCTGTCTCTATCGCAATCAGACTGAATTTTGGATGATTTGCATAGAAAAGTTCGGCCTTTTTAATGGTAATATCAATTTTTGAAAATCTCTCTTACTTTTTGAATTATAAGTTTTTTATTCTAAACGAAAATTCCTGGAGTAACAATTTTTTTCGGTATATTAAAAAATTCGTGAAAAATTCAATTTTTGAAACATTATTATGATATTTTCTGAGAATATAATGATAATTATCAAGTTTATCATGGTGAAATCCGATTTTGAAAGTCTTATTTAGTTACGGAGAAAAAAATTTTTTAAACACAAGCATTCATTTAAAGATTAAATTTATACAATAATTTGGAAAAAAAATTATTAAAAATCAATTTTTAACTCAATTGCTTTGAATCTTGTTTGATTTAGAAAAAAAAGAGTGATCTTTTTAATGGTAAACCCCGTTTGTATAAATCTTTTTTACGTCTTGAGTTATAATTTGTTTTATAATAACCAAAATTTCGTAGTAAAACAAATTCCAATTTCTACAAATTATAAATCAACTTTGAAAGATGATCAATGCAATTTTATTGCAACCATCATTAACCCCGAACGAAATTTTATCATTTCAACCCAATTACCAACACAATTTTTAATAATCTTCTTTAATCAACTGGTTTTAATCATCAATAATCCATAAACGATTTTACCCAATTGTTGATTGTCACCACACTTAAAAAAACGAGATCTAAATGTAAATTAGAAAGAAATATTGTTAATAAAAAACGTTCTATATTAACCTAAATCCATAAAAGATTTAATAATCGTTACAAATATTTAATTGTTTAACAATAATAGTAGAATTTCTATTTTAATTCGTATTCTCTATGCACTTCATTAAGCGGTAAATATAGAATAACCATAAATCCTGCGTTATCTGCAACGTTACTTTAAACGTTTGACATAATTCAAATTATATTACCACGTAGAATGTAAGAAACATGGAAAACTACTATGATTCCTAAATAACATAGGTTTAACCGTATAATGAAATGTAACGATTCAGAGAGTTTTGTATTAATTTTCTTATCTCTTCTTATAGATTTACACAATTAAATAATTGATATTCAATTCATTTCTTATATTATCAGTCCCGCTTTCTATTAGTTAAACATTTTTCGCTCAATATGTTAATGTACATAAATATAATCAATTTCATTTCCCGTAATAAATATAATAACATTTCGTTTTGTTCTACTCTCTCTTACTTAAACCGTTTAATACACTTAAATAACAATTAATATTTAAAGTTGTCTCAACTCATCATCAATATTTTCGGATTTATTTCCTTTCTAACCGCACGCATCTTACGCTAGAATTATTCTCTTTAAGAATTTCCCACGTTTCCAATTACATATTTACTGTTAAAGCGAGAGTAATTAACGAAAATTTTCTCAGCTAATTAAGCTCGGTTCTATTTTTTTTATCTCCTTACAAGATTTTCTCATTTTTCTTCCTTTTTGCATGTCTATTTGTTTTGGTTAAAAAGCAATCTCTTTTAGTTCGTCTCTAACAGAGAATGAGAACCGAACGAAAAACGAACGGCGACGAAGACGAAAACTACGACGAAGGAGGATGCGGAGAAAGAAAAAACACGTTGCGTTTCCTGGAAGGTTACCTACCAAACGATTCATTTTCGTTTTGTTTCAACCATCTCTTTCGCCCTG